GAAGCAACCAACATGAATTTGACACAACTCCGGGAGGCAGTGGAAGATAGGAGGGCCTGGCATGCTCTGGTCCAGGTGGTCATGAAGAGTCAGACACGAGTAAACAACTAAACGACGAACGACGACAAAATGAATTATCACATTGAAAGATGCACTGCATTGACATGGTTTGAAAGCCCTTTAAGAACACAACACAAAGGAAGATATGCAACACAAAATGGGTACCAGACCTTTCCTCATCAGTCTGTCGCCAAAGGCCTGCCTAAGTAGAAATGATTTTGCTGGCCAGAGGAAGGGCATCAGGGGGTTTTACCCTAGCCTTCTTTGGAATTGACTTCCATAGGCTGGGAGCAGCTATTAGGAAGTCCCTCTCTTGTGTTCTCACAAAACATGTCTTTGAAGGTGGTAGGATAAAAAGACAGGCCTATCCTGAGGAACGTAAAACCAAGCAGGCTCATGTGATATGGTCCTTCAGACATCCTGGACCCAGGGCGCATATGGCTTTATAGGTCATAATCAGCATTTCTTATCTATTATAAATGCCTATGCCATTTAAAAAAACACATCCTCTCCTCACCCTGCTCCCTATTTTCAGTACTCGGTGAAACCTTAACAAGCATTATCCGAATGATTTGCTACCCATTTGTATTTGTGTTTCTTGTATTTTCTCAGTTTCTTGTCCATTTGTGCAGGTGACCGTCTTGTCAAAGTGAATGGTGAAAGCATAATTGGGAAAACCTACTCACAAGTTATTGGCCTCATACAGAACTGGTGAGTTGGTCTCATTATCTATCTTGTTTCTCACAGTCATTGCTGGGATACCAGTTTTATTATGTAGACATTGCACCGTCAGGAGTCAGAGTTGGGGTTGTGACTGTTGTTCATAAGTCCATATATCTTAAAATTGTACTTGCTTTGTATCATAACTAAAACCTGGTTCTGGCTTAAGATCATAGTCTTTCCAAGCTTGTTTCTGGCTGGATATGAGTGTTTATGTGTTTCTGTATCTTTCCATTTTTTAAATTTATTTAACAAATATATGTTCTGCTCTTCAAATCACATATTTCTGTGGGGAAGGAAATTGTCCCTTGAAGAGTTCTGTCTGACCTCAGACGCTGCTTTGATGATTTAATTGTACTCCTAATTGGCTCCTTCTTGCCATAGTATCCCTCACAACCTTATGTCTTTACTCCAGTTTGTGGTTTTGTTTTGATTCCATCTGTCATGTTTTCTGCAGCTTCTACTTTTTCTGCCTCATCCTTATCTTCTGTTGTTTTGATCATCAAGCTAGTCATGTCTGGCTGGGCCAAAGCACTCTTTGGCTTTTTGTGTCCTTGAACCATATTTGCCTGTAGCCATTTCTGTGAGGAAGAACCCCTCCCTTCACTGGGTTGTCTGGGACCAACTGCCATTTCCCCCCTCTCCTTAGTGGCCATTCCAGCTGTTCACTACCATTTCAGTTATGCAGCTTGTAAAGAATTAGTGCCTCTATTTGTTAGCTTCCCTCCTGTTACAGATCCAGGGTGGGACGAGGGCTTTCCCAATGGACAGAACAGCTTCTGTGCATGTGCTCCTCTAGAAGAATTCTTTTGTTACCTTATTTCAGAGTATATGAAGAATTTTTTGCAAGGAGGATGCAAAGTCAACTGAAAGAGCCCAGTTGCCATGAAATTCAGAGAATTTGGGATGGGGGAGGAAAGGAGGAATCCATTTTGGGAGGAAAGAATCAGTTGACTTTTTCTACCTGAGGTAAAATAAATAAGGAACGAGTCATTAGGCCCCTTATTAGATCTTTCCAGAGGACCAGAAGGTGGAATCTCATGTATTTGTGGAATCTCAAATACAGGTGGAATCTCATGTATTTTTGGAACTCTGAAAGCTGGCCACTTAGTGGTATCTAGAAGTGAGGAGAACTAAGTTTCTGAAGTTAGTGATCTAAATAGCCAGGGAAAAATTATTTAGATCCTGCTTCCATCAGCTTAACTGTTTGGAACTTCTGACTATAATAGAGCTAAGTAGTCCTGCCTATCTGTTTTTTGTAAATAAAATATTAATTTCAGGATGTTTATTTGGAGGAAAAACGAATGATGTCTACCTATTCAGGGTTTACTTGTGAGTCTGTGAAATCCCAGATAGTCTTGGTGATGCTATTGAACTATATCAGAATTTAATTGGTACATCACACCTCTTCACTGTCTTTTTCTTTTGTATTGTGCCTTATAAGACTATAAAACTGTGATTCTTTCCCCACCCCCCATCTCCATACAGCACTTAAAATGTCAGGGACTTTATAGATGATAGTAATCTGAACTGTGCGCTTTTGTCCTGCATACTCTTTGAAAAGGGCTACACCTTATGAAATCCACTGGGAACAGCATCCCTGTGTCAGCTTCTCACTCATCCCATCTGTGGTCAATATCATTGGTAGCTTTTGATGGGGTTTTGAGAGAGTGGACAAATGCAGAGTGTGGTGATGTTAAGACATGGAATACTTTCTTTCCCTTTTAAGAAATAAACACATATGGAAGGCACAATTTTTTTAAAAAAAAATCATGCTACTCTGTATTTCTCGCCATGTACTGTATAGTTTCACCCCTGACGGTAGATTCTGGTCATTCAGAAATGTAACATGTAATTTTTTTGCTACATGTGACAACAGTTTTGGATGTGTACATGTACATGCTCTGAGGTGCTTCCAAAAATGGATCTGTGCCTTAGCCTACCAGCAGCTCTGCATTCAACATTTTAAAACTTGGTGTGTCCATGACCCAAAGAGAAAATGACCCGATGAAAGACATTGCCTTCCCTTGTTTTGTTATGTGACATTGAACTCCACATCTAATTAGCTTTCAGAATTGCATTTGGGACATGGGGAGGCAAACTGACCTGAGCAGGGAACCTAAATATAGCAAGCGGGAACGTGCAGAGTGAAATCAATCCAGCTAGGAACTATATATACATAAAAAGCCTGTTCTAGAAGCCTCGGAAAGAGAGAGAGAACAACTCACCAGACAAGCTGCAAAAATCAATGAAAAATACTGCTCTTCAGGATATTTCAGGGACCAATGAAATGTTGGGTATGGACCATATCCCTCCCTCTTTCTTGTTTGTGGTCTTGTTCGCATTTAACTCATAGCTCATGGAGGAAATTAAAACTGGAAACAACAAGAACAACAGCAGGAACAACAGAAGTCTGGCTGACATGAAATCCCAGACCCACCTGCTGGATTTTGGGGGTGGGAATCCATCTTTGAAGGAAATAAGTGGTTGACTTTTTCCATCTAAGGTAAAATAAATAAGTAAAGGTGAAAAGAGAGCTTAGCGTAGGAGATAAGAGGATAGTATAGCCAGGTCTCAGGGAAAAGGTGGGGCATTCTTTCTCATCAGTGTGCCAAGTTAATTAAATTGCTGTTAACTGTTTTGGACTGCTCATCAAATGCATTGTTTGTACTGAGGTGGCTGAGTGTGGGCTGCGAGCCAGGATATCCCTGGTTGTAATTTCAGCCTCAGTCTGGAAGTCTTGGAAGACAACAGACTGCCCCTGACTCATGTCTAACCCATGCATTTCCTTGGTAACCTCTAGTAAACAGCATGTGATGTGACGTCATTTCATTCGTTAGGGCAGGGACTCGGTTGCTGGCATTTCCAGTTAAAAAGGCTACTAGTAGCAGAGCTTGCTGGGAAGGACTTCCTGTGCCTAGTCAGAATAAACTATACTAAGGTACATGGGAGTTTAATCTGACTTGGTATGTTGAAGTTCTTATCTGCCTCAGGATCTGGTATCTAAAGGCACACATTTTTCCCCTGTAAGAGTCTGCTGGTGCATCTGAGACCATTCATGGAAATCCTTTTCTTAACAGCAATTGAGAGGGCCTTCTTGTGTCCCATTTGTGGCATTTTAATTTTTTTTGTATTTTGTATTTTTTTATTTTTTTGGTCTGGTGCTGCCTCTAATTTTCCCACAAAGATTGCATCTCTGAGAATTCTTCAGATATTGTGGCCCGCAGCTAAGTTGCTGGAAGATACTTAGAGATGTCAACCAAAAACTAACTTGTAAATGCTCTGATTTTATTACTCATGTTGTTTTAGTTTGATTGATTGTTATTTTGCTTTCTTGATTTTACTGCTTTAATTGTTAGGCTCTCTGAGGGCATTTAGACTTAAGTATGAGACCCATATTTCAAGCAAACAAACACAAATTAGAAAAAAGTTGCAGCTGACGTCCCTATGTTATATGGAAAGCTAGCTAATAAGCATTTCCATTGTCTCCTTTTCTGTTCTAGAAAAGTTAAAAGGCCAAGAAATTGAGAATGTCTATTCAGTTGCCTCTGAAACGATGAGAGCAAGGGGAGACAATAGGACTTATCAGTGAGCTGTGCCCCATAAAGCTAAATATCAGCCAAATCCTTTGTACAGTTATGGCTATGAACAGATAATGGCATAATTTGCTGTGGGAAATTACTGCTGATTAACAGGTCATCACTTGGATTCTTGGTTGTGTGTCTTCCCAACCCCCTCCTTTTTTTTAAAAAAAAATGATTCTTAGTTGTGTGTCAAGGCATTGACTTGACTGATGCCCAATGAAGAATCAAAATGGTTACTCGTTAATTAGTGGCAATTCCCCACTGTGAGTTATGTTATAGCCTTTCGGCCATTATATGAACACACTCACACACAAAACCAGTAACAAAGTTATTTTTGAGTAGGAAAATATCTGAGACTACTTTTCATTAAAAAAACAAACAAACAAAAACCCAACACCCCACATCCTTTCAGGCAGGAATGGGGGTTCTGTAGCCCTCAATATGTTGTTGAACTACAAGCTCAATACGTCTCATGCTCAATACCTATCAGCTAGGGCCATGCATATTTGGACATAATCCTGCCCCCTTCCTGTAAGGGTTTTATGTCTGTTTGCTTCTAATATACCCTTTGACTCATAATGAGTTGATTGAGGGGCAGAGTGAAAAGAAGGCGGCATAGCAGCAATGCCATTGAGTTGCTAGAGGAAGTAGGACGACTTGCACATGTCCTGCTCATGGAGAGTACTCTATGGTACATGGCAATATCTCATCCAAAGCCCAGGTGCCCTTCTAATGGTTTTGAGAAAGGACCTGCATGTGCATAGGAGCTGGGATGCTTTAAGACCAGACATGCACTTAGGTCATCACTTTGGACCCTGGACTTAATGATTTTTTGGAAGGCAGAGGCAAAGGCAATCTGTAGATTGTACTGTGTAGCACTTTGATTACTTTAAATTATGGTGAAATGCGCGTTCCTTGCTTTTTATGCTGAGTAGGACCCTATATGTCTGATCTAAAAACTTCTCCTGATAACATCACTTTCTGGCAATAGGGGTGGTTGCTACAGATGTTGGGAACCTTTGCCCTCCAGATGTTGTTGGAGTCCAGCACTTCTCTGCCCTAACACTATGGCTAAGTATCAGGGATAACAGGAATTGCAGACAAAAACTGTGAGGGGACACTGGTCCTCCCCCCCTCGCACGATACTGAGTGGTGGACAGAGAGCTTCTTTTCACCTCTAATCTTCTTATTCTTCAATTCCATTTCTCTTCTGCAGTGAAGATGCTCTGGAACTCTCCATCATGCCCAAAGATGAGGATATTCTGCAGCTGGTGAGTGCTTTGTTAGTGTCAGGGATCCTCTCTAGATTGGTTTGCTGAACCAGGTGATGTTTCATTGTGGAGTCTAGAATCAAGGTTTCCTACTCACTAACTCATATGTTTTTACTGTCCAACTCAAACTTAGAGTTAGAGCTTTTTTATTCAAACTCACTCAGTCACACTACTGATCTGTATCGGTTTCAGCTCTGATGTATTTTAAATCAATTTACAGTCACATGGTTTTCGTATTGCTGTGTGCATTCACTTTGAAAATTATTACTCTGATATAAAGTCGGGGCTTAAAACAGCTTTCAGGAAATGACGCATGAGATTTTAAATTGTTTCATTTACCAGTATGTTTGCAGATCATGTTTTCAATGTTGTTGTAGTCTTTCTTCAGTTTGTAGTAATCCTTTGGAATGTCTACATTTCTCTCTCTCTCTCTCTCTCAAAAATAAGTGTTAAGTGGCATATCACTACTGTGATGTAGTGCTGCTGTTAAAAAGTGGGGAAATTATTTTGGATGATTTTTGGGGGGAAAATGGGGGAAAATTGAAAAAAAAAATATTTTGGCACTGTCACACAGCCACCCACAAGGTCAGTATTTAATATGGCAGGAGTGTTCATATTACCCAAAACTATTCATAAAGAATCAATTTCAGAAGCGTGTTAAGTTAAAAAGCCCCTGCCAGCCTCTGTAAAAACACTCAGGTTGCAGCCTCAAAAAGTCGAAGTCACATCATGTGCCTTGGAATTTATAAATCGGTTTAAATATTGTCAAAACTGATTCAACTGTGGTTCTTATTGCCTTTGTGACTGAGCCCTGAAACACGTAAATAAACCCTAATGGCTCTGCTTTTTGAAAGGACCTAACAAATCTGAGTGAAATAGTGAAGGATCAGGAGGGCAATAACTTAAATCTTCACCAATGCTAATTCTACCTTTATTACTTAATAGCCATTTTTTCTTGCTTCTGTCCACCCTTTGTATGTGAACACATCTGGGCATGGATTGCTGGGGTTCTTATTGCCTTTGTGACTGAGCCCTGAAACACGTAAATAAACCCTAATGGCTCTGCTTTTTGAAAGGACCTAACAAATCTGAGTGAAATAGTGAAGGATCAGGAGGGCAATAACTTAAATCTTCACCAATGCTAATTCTACCTTCTGTATTACTTAATAGCCATGTTTGTTCCTTCGGTCCACCCTGTGTATGTTTGTGAACACATCTGGGCATGGATTGCTGAAGCTAATTGTATGTAGTTGCTCCTTTCTGAACCTTTTTTCATACGTATGTGGATCTGCGGGCTTACATAGATGTAAATTCATTCATATATAAGTATGTAAATTAAAAAAACATGATTTAGTTACGTATGTTTGGACCTCATAGATTGATCCACAGTAATCAGACCTGATAGTTAGTGCACTGTTCAGGAGGTTCTCTTACTTAATAGCCATGTTTGTTCCTTCGGTCCACCCTGTGTATGTTTGTGAACACATCTGGGCATGGATTGCTGAAGCTAATTGTATGTAGTTGCTCCTTTCTGAACCTTTTTCATATGTATGTGGATCTGCGGGCTTACATATTCATTCATATATAAGTATGTAAATTAGAGAAAACATGATTTAGTTATGTATGTCTGGACCTCATAGATTGATCCACAGTAATCAGACCTGATAGTTAGTGCACTGTTCAGGAGGTTCTCACCTTAGAAAGGGGTCTATTTGTGTGAACATTCCCTTATGATTTTTTCGCCCTATCCTTTTCCATTATCAAAGCTTGATGTGCTTAATATTTAAGTGAATTTGATCATCTACCCAGCCGCCTATTAACCTTTCCTCATTAGCAGATATTTTTGTTTCAATATGTGTGCTTGTGGCATTGTTCATTTGTAGCTACTTCAGGTTCACATACTGCTTTGAGAATCCAATTAGATTGTGATATTCTCCCTCTACATGTAATGGCAGTGCGAAAGCACTTCACATACTTCGGAGTCTTATTAACAACATGAAGGACTAAAAACCCTTTCTTTCCAAAATAAAGCCTCTCCAAAATAAAGCCTCCCCCTGACATTTGTAGAGTGGTTTGTTCTGCGCCCACTAGAGGTTTACAATACTATAGGGAGAGTGGGGACAGGAAGGAGAGCATATAGGGCAGACACATATTGTACATCCCTGGTGTCCCTGGTGCTCTCTGGGTATGATGAGAGAGGAAGTCCAATTTTTCTGGAGGGTATCAGGTTGGGGAAAGCTAGTCTAGAGTATGCTAGCCCCTATCCATTTTGGGATTTATAGAGTCAAAGTAGCCCTTTGAATTGGGCTGTGATGACAACAGAAGGTAACACACCCATACAGGAGTGTGGACATTATATACTCCCAATAAGCTCCAGAGCAATCTCATAAGTCATCTAGGAATTGCACAATGTGATTCTATATCAACAAATAAAATTTGGCAGAAATTTTTATCTGTGTAACTGCAGATGCAGCAGCTGTCATTCCAGGTACAGTATAAGAAGGCTGGTCACCAGAAGTTGCTTTTTTCGCTTTTTTTATGTCTTGCAAAGCAAAGAAACCTTTGTGTGGGTTTTCCCCTGTCCTGGTGCCTCATAGGGGTGTGTCGGCATTCCTGTGGTGCGAAAGCCGGCTTGGCCAGCCAATGAGAGAGAGTCCAGGGTTACAGAGTGACTCTTGACAGGATGCATGGAAAGGAATTCTCAGCTCTCTTTATCCCTCCCACATTTGGGACGTCCCAGTTTATATGTTTTTTTTTAAAAAAAAACTTAAAAGGAAAGATTGAGAAACAGAGGAAATATTAGCTTGGATGTCAGAGATTCCCCAGGGAAGAGAGAATCTGTCTTTTTGAACAGAGAGGAGAGAGAGAAAGAGAAGGAATACGCAACAGAGATATAGGAATATAAGCACAGCAGCAAAGGAGGCAAAGGTAATTCTCTGATATTGTGATGATTCCATTGCTTTAGAAAATAAACATTTTGGGTTTCTGTGACCAGCCAGGTGCTGGTCTAAGCTACATGAGTTTGCCTTGGCATATCAGAAATAGGTTGAGGGGCTAGAGAGTGGCATCTTATCCCTGGTACAGTATCGAGGATAGATTTCCAAATATGATTTAATTTGCTAACAGTGGTGCCGAGGCTTTGGCAGGGGATGATGGCTGAGACTTTAATTAGCATCACAGAGGCTGGTCTCAAATGAGAAAACAAAACACGAATAGAGTAAACCTTCCTTCCTTCCTTCCTTCTGTCTTTCTGTCCGCTGTATTAACAGGGAGGTTCTTCCACTGTCTCTTTAAGCTGAGGCCTTGTTTCAAATATAGCTCCTTTTTTGGATCTTAACAAGTCTCTGGCCAGAAATGTGGTTTTGCCTAACAGGGGCAGGATTCCAGTGTGAGACAGGAGGGCTAGGCAAGGAGCCGTCGAGAACTTTTTGGTCTTCAATTTAGTCTCCAGGAATTATTACTCTCTGGCAAAAAGTCTTCTTATGTTTGAGACAGCTGAGTAAGAAAACGGGTGCCCATACTTTCTTAAGCTGGGTTGGGTTGGGTGGAAGCTGTAGCTGTATCCTTCCTACCCATTTCAGTGCAACTCTGGATGTTTCTGACTAAGGAACAACTTGCTTTTCTTTTGCACATACATTGCATCCTGGGTTTGCAATGCATCAAATGGGGGTATAAGTCAGATTTTCTTTCTTTCTGCCATACTCTTGAAAACACATACCTGTGAGGTCTTTAAATTCCTCAGGTTCTTTTTTTTAAGTGGAAGGCATAGCAAATATTATTCTTGTCCTTACCTGTTCCTTTTGTGATGGGAATGCAGGGGATTCAAAGCAAAGGTTCCAGCATCCATTTCTGTTAGTTTTTCAGCTGATACTGACTCTCTGGTGAATCTCCAATTGTTTATTCCAATTTTCCTTAAAATTCCAGCTACATCAGGCCTGGCAGTTAAGGACTAGTGGAGTTTGCTTTAATGTCAAAGTCTTTTTTGTGTCATGGCATAGTTGCAAAAAACAGGGGAGGGGAAGGGAGGGTATATTTTCTTGGGAATAAGCTCTATTTAACAGTGATACTGATTTCTTAACAAATGTGCCTGAGTATATGCTCTCTGTCTCTGTTGTATCTGAGTCTTACCATATTTCTTGTGTAATTCCACTTTTCTGAATAATGTATCCTTTGGGAAGCAAAGAAGGGCTTGCCTGAGATAGGTGTGACATTAAGATACATCCTGTGTTCAAATACTATATAAGTTTAAACAAACAAACAGTACCCCCAATGATTTCTAGCCATTCGCTGAGTTGCTCTGATCACTCAGAATCAGATGGATTTACAAGGCTGCTATCAGGAAAGTGGCAGGTGTTTTTGGCTGCGGTACAAAATAAAATTGCATGCCAAGAAACTGGATGGGCTTTATGTTTGCATGAAGGCTGCTAATATAGACCGGATTGGAAGGCAGAAGATCATTGCCTGGGAGCTGAAGACCAGCGAAGCTCGCCAAAGAAGAAGTTAGGGGAAAGAGGGAGAAGCTTGTGACGGGTGTTCAGTTCAGGAGAGTCTTAAGTAGTATTAGTAGAATGGGATGCAGAAAGTTGCAGAAGGGGTGAATATCCCCCCTGCCTTTCCCAAAGCATGGCCATAAGTTTGCTGCAAGGCTCTAGTTGACACTTGTTTTGGTTTGAGTGTAATTCAAGATAACAGCTGGTTTTGCTTAAAAGAGCCCATGTCGTTGCACTGGAATTGCCAGCAGATAGAGGCAGCGCAGCTAATATTTAAGAGTACTGTTTTGGGGGTTTCAGTACAAGAATATCTGGAGATCTGCACTTTGCCCACCCTGGCTTAGGTGAGAAGGACAGAGAGAGATTTAGAAGTGAGGCCCTATTCTGCAAAGTGTCTTATGCACAATTTCTGCTTTTTGACACTTACCTTTCCCTTCAGCCTGTTACATCAGGTTGGAATCCAGGCATATGAGGAAGCACTGGGGACCAGAATCGGCCCAGATGCTATGGAATGCCGGCCTCTGTCCTAGAATGGCAGTCTACATAGTGATATATAGGCATAACCTGTCTCACATAAGGAACAAATTTAAGAATCATGTCATTTGTAGCTTGCTAGATTCTAAGGATAAAGACTTGCTTCTTGATAGCTCTGTTTTCAGCCAAATCCTTACTCATTTTTCCCCTCTCCACTTTTTCCAGGCATATTCTCAAGACGCTTACTTAAAGGGCAATGAACCATACTCTGGAGGAGCTCAGAGCATCCCTGAACCACCACCCATATGTTATCCTCGCAAAACCTACCCGTTCCAGTCAAGACCTTCTCCTCAGGATGTTTCAACAACTGAGACCTACCAGGGACAGCAGGTGGACAACAGACAGCCATACCATTCGGGATCCTCTGGCCTGTCCTCTTCATTGAACACCACTGGGGTTCACAGAGCCCCCTTGAGTGCCTGGGCAGAATCCACACAGAACTTCAGTAGCAATCATTCTAGCCCAGCCCATCGTACAGAGGAGGTCCAATATGGAATGACTCAGAGAGTGTCTGTACAGAGGCCCCTTCCAGCCTCCAGCTCCTTTTCCCGCTATTCCAACAGCAGTTGTCCGGGTTCTATACCTTCCCCCTTGCCTGAGAGGTATTGTGTTCCTTCTGCTCCCTCTATGCCCAACCACGCCTGCTACGGACCCCCCAAACATCTCCCTGACCACTGCCCTCATGGTGGCTTGAAGGATGCTACCCGTGAGGGCCGGCCTTCTAGGGACTGCATTGGGGCTGGCCCCAAATCCGTCAGCCGTCTAGAATGCCAACAGGCCTTGTCCAACTGGATCTCAAGTCAAGTGCCACGACGAAGCTCTTCAGAGGAGCGTCATGGTGCCATGCCACCTCGCTACCGGAGTGTCTCACAAGATCGTCTCGGGGATGCCCCAGCTGCCCGGGGTTGGCCTCACAGTGCTTCCCAGGACACCTTAATCCAGTCACCTGCCCATGATGGTTGGAATTACCGAGCAAGATCAGATAACTATCTGGTGAAATATGGGCGGTCCTTGGAAGCTCTTGAGCAGGGTGCCTTGGTTTCCCCTCGATATGAGAGGTCTGTATGGCCACCGGACAGGTTTTACCGGCATGGGCAAATTAACAGAGCCCAGCCTAATCATCCAGGGTCTTATATTTCTTCTGCATCTTCCAGGGACCCACCCCCTGCACATGTACAAAAACACCCTTCCCAACCAAACCTTCAGAGCATTGATGATTCTGGATACATTGGTTACCGAAGCTACAGCCCCTCATTTCAACGTCGAACTGGCTTGCTCCATGCCCTTTCTTTCCGGGATGCTGCCTTTGGTGATCTTCCCACTTTTAATATTTCACAAAGGCAAGGAAACCACTCAACACCACCTTATGTTGAGAGGTCTTTGCCCACTGCCATGATCCCCAGTGCCCCTCCTCCTTGCTTGGACCCTCTTCTGGGCAGTAGCCCAGAGATCCCAATGGACCAAAAACTGGCCAAACAGGAGAATGATGTCAAGCCTCCTGAGCAGTCTTCTCCACCTCAGGCTACGGAACGGTTGCAGTCTGAGGTGGAGGAGAGGAGAGATGAAGTGGTTCTCCGGCAAAAGCCCCCAACTGGACGCAAAATGCCTCCTCCTGCAAGACAGATGAACTTTGTTTTCCCAGACGACATGAAGGAAACAGACATTTGTGATCCGCCTCCACCAGCGCTGGCAGCTGGTAAAGAGAACAAGCGAGGTGTGGCCCCATTGGCTACACCGGAAGATTCGCTAGCATCCATCCCATATATTGGTATGTAGATAAAGCATGCTGATATACTTTGGAAAGTGGTGTTAGACCAGTCAAACCAGTGTTGAGTTTTGTCTAGGCCAATTTTCAAGGTGATTTTGGTGAATTTAGAGGCCATTTTGAGTGTTGCTCAAGAAGGTCTTTCATGCTTCTTCACTAGTAGCTATCCTGCCCCATTGAATCATGCACTTTTGATCTTGATTCTGGGTGAAATCTCTTCCAATTGCATTGCGAAGAATGAGAGATTTGCCAGGAAAATGACACCAGAATAATTCATACCGGGCAAGAGTAGCAATATTTGCAAGTTTTTTTCAGTTTATGATTTAGAAGTATGATTTTTCCCTCTCCCCAGAGCTCACCCCATTCAGTTGGAATTGTGGGGAGTGATGGGCAGAGAGGCACAAAGAGAAATCCCATTATTTGGAAATTAAAGAGACTGACTACACTGTCATGTTGTGTAGCAACACCAAGCTAGATTCAAAACTCGGAAAAGCTATTTTTAAGACTACAATGCTCAGAATCCCTACTTAGGATATTGGTTGGGGAGTCTGGGAGTTGTAGCCCAGGAGCAACTTTTCCAAGCTCTGAACAGATCTGTAGATTTGCAATATCTTTGCATCCGACTGCCAGACCTTTCAGTTGCTGGTTGAAGCAGAGCCAGAACCTGTACTCCTACAGCTGTGAGCTGTCCTTGGACCCAAGGAACCTGTCTTGGTGTCTGTTGGGGTTGTTCTCTCATATAATGAACATACTGAGGTGAGATTTTGCTGCTCTGCTATAAAATGTCTTTACAGTGAATTTATATTTAGAAGTTGTAGGTCATGAGAATGTGTGCATCGTTAGACAGCCAAATAAAGACCGGAGATCAAAGAATACATGCCCAGATTTTTAGTCTTTAACATGTTGGTTTCTGGAAGCATATAGGTGCCTGCCATTTGTATTTTTGACAACTGCACAGCCATAAACAGACAGTTGATGTGAGTGTTGCCAGTATTTTCCATCACATCCTTAAAACCAGCATTTTTATGCACATTGTCATGGTTTTGGCTTTAATATATGCTCTTGGTTCTAGATATTTAACTTCAGTAAAACATCTTAAAACATAGTCTACAAACTAGAACTTTAATACAGGTTAGGAGCCTACTTATTCATGTTACTGAGTGATCCATGATACAAGGATGAAACAGACACCCCTTCCCTCCTTTGCTTTAACCTAGCTTTCTTTAATCCTCCACATATGCTGGCCGCTTTAATATATGCTCTTGGTTCTAGATATTTAACTTCAGTAAAACATCTTAAAACATAGTCTACAAACTAGAACTTTAATACAGGTTAGGAGCCTACTTATTCATGTTGCTGAGTGATCCATGATACAAGGATGAAACAGACACCCCTTCCCTCCTTTGCTTTAACCTAGCTTTCTTTAATCCTCCACATATCTTGGCCTATAACCCAGTGTTCCCCAACGTTGGGCCTCCAGATGTTCTTGGACTACAACTCCCAGAAGCTTTCACCACCACCTCTGCTGGCCAGGATTTCTGGGAGTTGAAGTCCAAGAACATCTGGAGGCCCAAGGTTGAGGAACACTGCTATAACCCCTATAATTTCTGATAAGTATTGGCTGGGAGTGATGAGAGTTGGTAGTCCATTACATCTAAAAGGTGTTGGGTTGGGAAAATAATCTTTAACCCTTGTCTCCTCCAGCTAGGGTTCATCATTCCAGGTAACTTCATGGAACCATTGTTCTTTGCCTGCATGATAACCAAGAGGCCACCCTCAGGAGATCAAATGGTGCTCATGGTATTGTGAGATCAGTGGTCTTTTTGAGTTGCCAAGCAGAAATGCTCAGAAGTACTTCTTCATGAAGCAAGCAAAAGGGACCCAACAACATCTACTCTAGGCTTAATTTCTACTCTCAGGGATGCTTGTTTTACTTGGGCAAGTCCCTTATTTCTCTCCCTCTGGCAGAAGGGCAATGGGCATTGTTAGTGGGATATAAATAATGTAATGCTCTATATTTTGGTGAAGCAAATGTGCTACCATGCCACTGTTGTATGGAAGAATGTTGTGGCAAGTATGTCCCAGATTCAGTACACCTCAGCATTGGCTCCACAATATACAGTATGCATAATATAGACAAATCCCTAAAATGAGCAGGATGGAGATTTCCACCCATGAGCATCTGGCTGACGTTTGGCAGGAAAGAGAAGCCAACAGGGATAAGAGATGGTTTTTATTGGCTGAAGAGACTCTGCATTTGTCAGTCTCATGGTACTGATGGACAGAGATTTATCTGGGTGATGTACCTATACTCTTTTCATTAGTGGGCAACTCTTATATTCTTACACTATTGACAACAGCTGGAGTCGACACTGTATGTGCTTGCAGCAGCTTATTAAGGTTGTACATCAAAAATTCCTGGAAGGCTACTGCTGCCCATACTTGCTCTTCATGGTAATTCTGTCCACTTTCTGATCACTCAAATCTAATAGAACTTTGTACAGTTGCAGCCCATTCCCCGAGGAGAAGACTTTTCAGAGTGGCCATATGTGTGCCTCTTGCTATGGCCTAGCCAACTTTTAGCACAGGTCTAAAACCTATCATGTTATGATGCGGATGGAGCTATGGTGGGCTGCCTCAACTATTAGGTTTGCTGCCTGCTTCCTATGCAGCCCTTTTGAGTACATTAAAAGTTACTTGTTGGGAGCTGCTCTTTTACATAGACTTTACACAGACCTTTTGAAGGTCACGCTCATCCATTGGGCTCATCTGTTGGGAACCTGGGAGTGACTTGGTGACCTGCAACAATAGCAAGGAAGGGCCTGGGTTGTTCAGAGATAGGCAAAATATGCACCGTGTTAGATGAGAGAGAGAAGAGCCGCCTCCTGCTTCCTACCACCAACACTCTGCTCAGGGCCAGCCAAGATGTTTGACTTCTTGGGATGAAGAACAAGATGGTGACCTCTCCCCCATTTAATGTACAGAAGCTGACTGGACTGGGAGATTAACCTTTCCTCAGCAGTGGTAGTTGAATTAATTGAAAAGTGTCCCCCCCACACACACACCATTCATACATAAGGCAGTAGGTCATTTGAGGGCAATGCAGGGAAGCTTGCATGGCATAGAGTTCTTTGCACCAAGCCCTTGCTGCAGCATCTCAGGATCTGCTGCTAGAGGTTACTGCCTTACTCTGTCTTAACCATTAGGCTGGTCCTGAATCTGATCTCTTTTGGACAGAACATCTGGGTGAGAATTAAGCAGGGAGGCGGAAAACGAAGAATAGGCAAGAGTTTCTGTTTTGTGTTAGCATGATCCTTCTGGTGGAAGAATTGTTAGATCTAGAGAACTCTGTCAAGAACTTTGTCTCTTCCTCTACATTTTCCATTATTTGATTATATTCGCTGCTATTCCAGATGAACCGACAAGCCCCAGTATTGACCTGAAGGCAAAGCACATTCCCGCCTCCTCTGTTGTCTCCAGTGCCATGAACTCGGCTCCTGTGCTCTCTGCGAGCCCCTCCTCACCTACGTTCACGTTTGCTGTCAACCGCCATTATTCCCAAGATTGCAGTAAGTACTTCTCCAGTCCTTGTCTTTGACTATCCTTTTACTTGGGCTAGAAATGACCAAAAAATAGTGAAACGAGATAAGAAGCCAACCCGCAATTCCTTCTTCGTAGAAGGTGTTCTGCCTGTTATGGTAGGCTTAAGAGTATTGTTTCAAAAAAAAAAATTCACAAAGGCTTAGATTTTTAGCCTGAAGATTTCTTTTTGTGATTTTTGTCTCATTTATTTAAAAGAGAAGTCAACAAATTATTTTTATTTTATGAAAATAAAACAATAGTAATAATCAAAATATTGGGTTTTAGCCTACAATAATTTTAGGGGGCCAGCAGGGAAAGATGGAGAGCTATATTTCTGTGATGGGTTTCGGCAGAGTCTTTGGTTGATGTGTGTATAAGCTATGTTGGCTGTTTACATGATGGTATGAATGGGTGACAGGCAACAAGAGAGAACTAGATGAGTGCCAAGTAAGACCGTTATGGCAGTTGAGAGGGGAAAGGAAAATGCCTCCATAGAACCTTGTTTTCCTCAGCCCGAGGGGGATGGGCTAGAGAGTATATAAGAGTGAGTAAGTGTTGAGAGTGAGAGATACAGTGAGAGAGTGCAAATATGATGCGTTGTGTGACCATGGGACAGAGATAGAGATAGGACATGATTGTTTTGCATGTAGGTTGAAGAGTTAGGATTAATCTCAGATTAGATAAAAGGCCATATGAAGGATCTTTCTCCTGTTTTCATTGTTTGTCATTCCAACCCAACACTCTTTATGTATGAAACACCTCTATTTTCTGGTGGTAGTTAAGACCTAACACCCTGATTGTTTGGTCATAGGTCAAACGAAAGAGAAAAGGAAGGGAAGAAAATGATATTTTAAAGGGTGATGGCAGCATTGCCTGAGGATCTGAATTCCAGCAGAAGGTTTAAATAGAGATCTTCCACAGATTCAAGTACAGTTTGAAGAAGGGCCCAGGTGTCCTACGTGTGGAGGGGGCCAGTAGCCTCAAGGAGCATCCTGTTTGCCTGATTAAGTGATAGCAGGGTCAGATTTGAGGTCAGGAGCCCTAGTGAAAAGTAGCAACCACTGCCAAAACTACATTGCCAGGAAAAAATTTATTGAATCCACAGCAACCTCTGTCACTACATACAACACAAGCCCTACTGTGGTTTAAAAATGACACCAATCTGCTTCTAAAATTGCATTAGGGCTTCTGTTGCTGTCCAGCCAGTGCTAGGAGGTTTCCTGGCTTCTGAGAAAGTGCAAGGATTGGGGCAGCAGAGTTCTTGCCAACTTGATGTGCGGCCAAAATGAAACTGCTGGAGCTGCCCCTGGGCAAGAGGACTATTGCTGTCTGGGCAGTGCTGGGAGTCTTCCTAGATCCCGGCCGTGGAAGCCTTCGTGAATATATTGAGTGCTGGGAGTCTTCCTAGCTTCAGCTTTGGCTGGTGGACAATGATGTTATTGCCCAGGGGTGCAGCTCACTGGCTCTGTTTTCACCATATGTTGAGTGGGTGAGCTGCTGCCCAGTGCGGTGAGTAGCCAGGAAGATTTCCAACACTGACCAGGTGAGGAATCACATTAAAACTGGACCTGTCTCGTAAGCAATTTCATTTCTGTTTGCAGATAACTTGCAGCAAAAAAGCTTTGCTGAAGTTGATTGCAAGTATAATGTCTCTGCCCCAGCTGAGGGATGTATGGAGGTGTTACATAACCCCAAGGCAGCATGTGCAGGGAATTTTGGCTGAGGAATCTGGGAGTTATAGTCCAAGAAAGTAACTTTCAAACCTCTGCTCTGGATATGTATGCTAGGTGCTGAGGAGGGATCCTATTCTCAATCTCTCTGCCAACCCAGGCACTGACCAGCATGCAGTTCATAGTTGTCTTTAGCTACCTGGTCAGTGATTTTGTATAAGGCTGCTTAAAGACCAGAGCTCAGAGAGCATTTAATGCAGTCTAGTATCTGACGTTTCAGAAAAAGTAGTCATTACATTTGTTGAAAAGCATCATTCTCTTGGAATTCTTGATCAGTGTTGAAGCAAGGACACTTTTGGTAGCAACTTGGTCTGTTTGTGACATTTAGTACTTTGGGGAGGGGTTCCCCCCCCATTTCTTCTGCCAGGCTAGTAAATCAAACAGCATTCCTAACTGGGAAGGTATTTGTGCCCCCCCCCCCCCCCATTTCTTCTGCCAGACTAGTAAATCAAATAGCATTCCTAACTGGGAAGGTATTTGTTCTTCAGTTCAGAATGCAGATTTTGGTGGGATGGGGAGGCTGCAAGAAACTTTGAGTGGGGAGGATTCATATGAGAACTCTTCTCCCCAAACTGGTTAGCTATGTTAAAAGAAGAAAGGGAAAAAATAATCACAGTGGTATGTTTTCTAACAAATTCCACTGATGTTGAATCATAAGGTGACAGGGGGGAAAACGGTTTTGAAAGCCAGGAATCTCAAGCTTTAGACTTGTAAGGCAGTCATTCTCAAATTGAGTGCTGCAAGAGAATTGCTAGGATGGTGCTGGCGCTTGCAGTAGTGGTGGAATAATTAAAGGCTCCCAGGAACCCAAATTACTCAGTCATGGAGGAGGCTGCTGTATGTGTGCCTAGATTACTCACCCATGGGAGAGGCAGCAGATGTGTGCGTATGCAGTCAGGAAGTGCACTCAGAAAAATAAACCAGATAGACTCAAAAAGTGAGTTGGTCTGATAGCCATCCATTTTAACTCTTCTGAATTTGAGAAGTAGCCCTTTAGGTTATAAACATGAAGTAAGTGTTTAATTTTAATTTTATGGGGAGATTGGAAGTGTGCTTCATAGTTGTTATATGTTGGTGGATGACCTGCTTTAGAGGAGTATTCATCTATCAACATCTTCTCCCTGCCAAGTAACACCATAATGATCAGTATTTCTTTACCAGTTTCGTTTTAGAATGTGTCTCATCAGGTTGCTGTCCAACAGGTTAGGACAAAACTTAATGTGCTGACCTGGCTTTTGAAGGGAGATGTCATTTCATGGTGACATTTACAGTGGTGCCTCGCATAATGAGTGCACCGTTTAACGACGAATTCGCATAGCGACGTGTTTTTTGCGATCGCTAATGCGATCGCATTGCAGTTATCTAAATGGCCAAAAATCGCATTGCGATGATCAGTAAGCGTTTTGCTTATTGATCTTCATATTGCGATGTTTTTTTAAACAGCTGATCGGCGGTTCCAAAATGGCCGCCGGGTGCACAAAATGGCCGCCCGCAGCGTTTTTGCGTCCTCCCCTCGCTTGCCAAGGCAGCGAAAATGGCAGCGCTATGGAGGATCTTCGCTCAACTGTGAGTTCCCCCCCATAGGAACGCATTAAACGGAGTTTAAAGCGTTCCTATGGGGTTTTTCTTTCCGTTTAGCGACGATTCCGGATAGCGACGTTAATCCTGGAACGGATTAACGTCGCTATGCAGGGCACCACTGTATTTGCAATTCTCCTGTGGTTGCTCTTTCTCAGAAGTCTCCCTGTATGTGGTTAGAAGGGAAGGTACAACTTGCCAGGCTTTGCTCTTGGTTGAAAGCTGGCTTTTGGCCAACAAGATACAGTTTTCTTGGCTTGGCCCATTGTAATTGTGGAAAGATGTCCCTTCTCTAGCAGCCTTATAAGGTTTAGAGACTACCACCACCAAATCCTTCCCCTTTGATGGTTTGGAGAAGCAACCCAACTCTTGGGATGACTCTGTAGGAAGCTTTGGCTTGTGTTTAAAATCACCTGACTGAGGGCTATACCTGGAAATGATTTCCTTCCATGGTCAGTTTTGTCATGCAGTTGGGTGCATTTTTACCATTCCCCTTGAACTGCATAAGATACCTATTATTGTTTTTACTCTGCAGCATTATTTTTACCCTTGTCCATCTGCTCCCTGTAATTAACATACTTTGGTCATCTCTTTGGCAGATTGTTAGCTGTGAAGATAGAGCCAAGGGGTTGGATTAAATCAGGGATGGAGAACCTATGGCCCTTTAGATCAGTGGTCCCCAGACTTTTTGAAACTGCGGACTGGTTTGGGGGGGCAGGGTCTGTGGGGGGACGGGGGCACTACCTGTGCTTGCAGGTGGGCGTGGCACATTCATGGATGGCTGTGGCGCACTCACACACATGCACGGGTGGGTGTGGTGCACTCACGGGTGAGTGGGACAAGAACGCATGCATGTGCAAAAGCACACCATGCCCACCCACAAATGTGCCCGTTCACCCCACACATGCCCATCATGCATGTTTGTAGGGGGGGAGATCTGTCTCCACGGCCCAGTCCTGCAAAGCCCATGGACCGGTACCGGGCCGTGGACTGGGGGTTGGGGACTCCTGCTTTAGATGATATTGAACCATGACTTCATGGCTGTAGGTCATGCTGGTTGAAGCTGGTGCAGATTGGAGTCTAACATAAACTGGAAGGCCAGACATTCCCAGACATCCCCACTCTGAACTAGATAACCCTTTCCTGTCCTCTTCATTCATCTCTGGCAGTGTTCCTCTGTCATCTCTTTCATAGGCAACATCAAAGCCAGTCGCCGGTCTTCCTACCTCTTAGCCATAACCACAGAACGTTCCAAGTCATGTGATGATGGTCTGAATACATTTCGGGATGAGGGAAAGCTGCTCAGGTAGGTGGGGGTTCCTCTCATCTTCCTTTCTTGAAGATCTTTACAGTGTGCTCTTCGGGTTGGAGTTGGCAGAAGAAGGATTGTGGGTTCTTCCTGAATTATTCTGCTATGTCTGGCATTCATAGCAAATTCCAAAATAACAGCTGCCATAGGCTAATGGCAGGCAGTAATTTTTTTAGAAATAAATTAAGACAGGCTTTGCTTCCCATGATGTATATGCATACTTCATCTCTGAATAAACAGGTTTTTGGAGCTGTATAAGAACCTTGCACAACCTGTTTATCAGAGGTGAAGTAATACACACCCTAGGAGCAGTGTGATCCATCTTTCCGGCTGTTCTCCTCTGCCTTCATTCTTAAGCAAAGAATAACTAGTCAAGGGTCCTGCAGTTCCAAGAAAAAAATATGAACATATGAAGCAGTCTGTGGTCCAGGTGAACTGCAGTTCTCCAAGCTTTCTGAACCTCCTACTTGAGGTCCTTTAACTGAGAAGGCTAGAAGTGGAACCTAGGATCTTTTGCTCTCCCCATATAAAATGTGTTCTATACAGATACAGTGGTGCCTCGCTTGACGAGGATAATCCGTTCCAGCAAAATCACTGTAGAATGAAATTGTCGTCAAGCGAAAGTAAAAATCCTATTGAAATGCATTGAAAACCAGTTCAATGCATTCCAATGGGCGAAATACCTCAGCGTCCAGCGAAGATCCTCCATAGGGCAGCCATTTTCTGGTGCCTGTAAAGTGAGGAAGCCGTCCTAAAACACAGCGGGGAGCCATTTTACACAGCGAGGAACCATTTTGAAACCCATTGATCAGCTGTTTTGATCGTCATTAAGCGAAAAATCGGTTCCCGAAGCAAGGAACCGATCATTGTGAAGCGATTTTTCCCTATTAAAACATCATTTTGCTATCGCAAAAACTTCATCGTTAAGCTATTTCCTCGTCTAACGAGGTAATCATCAAGCGGGGTGCCACTGTACATGCATATTGTCTTTGCCCTTTTTCTGGGAACAACATCACTTAAGGCATGGGTGAGGAATCCTTTTTACTCTCATGGCAAAATACCAGTTTGGGAACCATCTTAGGAGCTGCATTTCAGCAAAGGTGGGACAAAGCAAAATGGGTTGGATCAGATGTAAATCTTGCCATGGGTGGGGCAAGATGTAAAACATACACACAGCATATTTGTAGCCATCTAAATCTGCCCATAGAATCCTTAGGATCTGAACATGTAGACCCATCTGGCTAAAGAAGTGAGTGGCATACATTTCTGAAAGCCAGAGTCCACTTCCATACATCTGATAAGATGTATTAGTCTATTTTGTCTTTGCATTTACTAGTAAAATAGTTTTGCACTGGCATTTGCTATTGAGGGGTGGTGTACAATAAAGGGAACTGGAAGTGAGGAGAGCTTTTTAGGTTTTTTATTTGCATTGCTTCTGCCAACAGTATTGATACTTTCTTCCCAGGAGGTTGCCAAGCCGCGTTCCAAGCCTCCGCATGTTACGAAGCTTCTTCACTGACGGGGTAAATATTTGTGACTCTGTCATGCTCCCATTTCCTTAAGAAGAAAAAAATAGATCTGTACGTTCTGCCTACCCTGTTCAAACAGCTCATAGGTTTACTGTGAATCTGAACAGAGAATAGAGTTTAAAAGCACTTGCTAACAAGACACCAAAACTCCAATTTTCTTGCTCCTCCAGTGTGGCTTAACAAATGTGGGAATTAAATGCAGAAATCATGTCCACACTGGAATTAATGGTGCAGCTTACCGGAGGTATGTAAGAATTAAATGCAGAAATCATGTCCACACTGTGGAATTAATGGTGCAGCTTACCGGCACAACATCAAAATGATACCAGTTCCTCATAAGCTGGAAATTGAGGTTACCTCCCAACATTGGCAGGCAGTCCTGAACCCAAGGCATAAATTTGCCAGTGTCAGCAAGCCTTAGAAAAATAGCTACACTAAGTTTTGAACAAGCGATGATGTGGCAGTTGCCAAAACTGGTCTGTTGCCCATTTAACCCTTCCTTCCTCCTCTTCGTCCTCTTTTCTCAAGCAGCACGCGCTGCATCCACAAAATAAATGCACTTTTTCCCCCTTCATGTTTGAGCAGTGTATTTTTCTCTCTCCTACTCCAATAGGATTTTTTCTATCCTCATCCCATGCATCTTTGCTTGTGTCTACTGAAACAATAATGCTGAAGCAGGGAAATTTTTAAAAAGTTTAAAAGCACACAACTGTATCAATGGAAACTCTGCTGTGTGTACAAAATTAGCATAGGTAAAAGGTAAAGGTTCCCCTTGACATTTAGTCCAGTCATGTCCGACTCTAGGGCGCGGTGCTCATCCCGGTTTCTAAACCATAGAGCCAGCGTTTGTCCAAAGACAGTTTCCGTGGTCATGTGGCCAGCATAACTAGATAGTTTCCGTGGTCATGTGGCCAGCATAACTAGACATGGAACACGGTTACCTTCCCACCAAGGGGGCACCTATTTATCTACTTGCAGGAGCTGGGACAAGCGACGGGAGCTCACTCCATTGGGTGGAATCGATCTTACGACTGCTGGTCTTCTGACCTTGCAGCACAGAGGCTTCTGCGGTTTAACCTGCAGTGCAACCGCATCCCTAAAATTAGCATGCATTGTTTTAAAATCATGTTTGTAGCATTAAAGGGCTGTTGAGCATTTATCCCCATATGAAGTTTTTTCAATAGCATGTTAACAAAAAAACCAAACCCCCCCAAAAAAACAAAAAACAGGGGCTTCTGCAGTTTAACCCACAGTGCAACCGCGTCCCTTAAAATTAGCATGCATTGTTTTAAAATCAGGTTTGTTGCATTGAAGGGCTGTTGAGCATTTATCCCCATATGAAGTTTTTTCATTAGCATGTTAACAAAAAAACAAACAAAAACAGACACAGCCAGAGAAAGCAGAATATGTATCAGACACCTCCTAATATCCCATTGCTATAAGCATCATCAGATGCTGTCATGGAATGGCCAGAATTCTGTCTATGCCCTTATTCAGGCAGCTACTGTGTCCTTCAAGCCATTTGGAGAATCTGATCTCCTCTATCAAGCATCATTGTTTCTTTCTTTCTCCTTCCCCTGTACTTGAGTGGCAGTTTTCTTGTTCACTGGTGGTGGTCATCAAACCATCCTTGTTTTCCCTTTCCTGTGCAGTCCTTGGACAGTCTTGGTACCTCTGAAGACACCCGATCAAAGCGGCATTCAACCTCTGACCTGTCAGATGTCACTTTTAGTGATGTGAGGAAAGAAGGCTGGCTCCACTACAAACAGATCCTTACCAAGAAAGGCAAGGTATGTATGTAACTTTGCAAGGGTATTCCCAGTAGGAAGAAGTGGAGTTTTGGTGCATGTCTCTGTAAGCAGTTGTATATGGTGGGATCATCTGCATATCTGAGGTTGTTGATATTTCTTCTGGCAATCTTAATTCTGGCTTGGGATTCCTCCAGTCCAGCCTTCCACATGATGTACTCTGCATATAAGTTAAACAAGCAGGGGAACAATATACAGCCTTGTCGTACTTCTTTCCCAATTTTGAACCAATCAGTTGTTCCATATTCAGTTCTAACTGTGGCTTCCTGTCCCACATATAGATTTCTCAGGAGACTGATAAGGTGGTCAGGCACTCCCATTTCTTTAAGGACTTGCCATAGTTTGTTGTGGTCCACACAGTCAAAGGCTTTTGCGTAGTCAATAAAGCAGAAGTAGATGTTTTTCTGGAACTCTCTGGCTTTCTCCATAATCCAGCGTATGTTAGCAATTTGGTCTCAAGTTCCTCTGCCCCTTCAAAATCCAGCTTGTACTTCTGGGAGTTCTCAGTCCACATACTGCTGAAGCCTACCTTGTAGGATTTTGAGCATAACCTTGCTAGTATGTGAAATGA